TTAAAGTATGACAAAACCTTCAACTTGTCATAGGTTTTATAAAATTTTAACAATAAATGCGATAGTTATAAACAAATTTAAAAATGGGCACTTTTCTTGTTTTTTTGCAATAACTTTTTTGTTTATTAACGGATTTTAATTTAACAAGTCTCATTTTGTAGATAATTTTACTCCTAGGCTAGAGTCACTTTTTGCTAAAATTGATGGTTTCCCTACAAACTGAAAAAACTGTTTTCCTCACTTATTTGTTTATATAGAAAAGTTAGCTAATAAAAGTTTTTGACTCACGATATGAGAGATGTCTTGTATAATGTTCCTTTAGACAATTTTACAATAATCTCGTGGAAGGACTTTTTGCGAGTTTCTCTTTTATTTTCGCTAATTTTCCTGGTGTATGTCTATTTTCACTGGGGGCGGGGTAATAGGTCATCTAGATTTTCGTGGGCAGTAAAAAAAGACGTAAATTTGCCAACTTAGCGTCACTTCTTTCGAGTTACTTTTTTGATATACCATTGTACATACAAAAAGTGCAATAAAATGTTTACTAATAATTTATTCACGTTCAAACTCTAAATCGGCTGGAGTATTGTAATATTTCCATGTTTCCCCCAGTGCACGTAAAAAATTTGGATAAATGAAAACCGTATTAAACCTTTTAATAACCCAGCCGGCTCCGGTTGTCACGAATGCTCATTTGGATAAAAACCGATTTCCAGCTTTTCAATTTCCTGTTGGGCTCGAGGGAATAAAGCCACATCTGCCGCCATTATTATTTTGGCGAAATGATATCAAACACTTCCGTGTAATATTTTATTGTTATATCTGCCGCTCCTAGAACTAAATCCGAAAAAAATCGCTAAGAAAAAAACTAGAAGATTTACAGTTTAATAACACCGCAAGGCCTACTTAGGCGGTTTGTTCAATTGTTTCTTGAACCGCCAGGAGCATTTAGAGTCTGAATAATTTCGACAGGCGTAAACCCTAGTCACAGGAAATTTCATTAAGGTGGTCCCTATCATGTCCCTTAGAACACTGCGACGCAAAAAGTTAAACTTGGATGGATGGGGGTTTGCGCGCGATATATCCACGTTCTCCGGGCAATAAATGAGAATAAGCCCGACGTTTCTTGTCCTGCATTGACGTTCAAACTTAATTAGGAGGAATTGGAGTCGAAAACAGAATTATTTATACAGACACGGATAAACATGTATTAGGCTCTGCGCTTTTATTAAATTTTTATTTTTAGCAGTTGACTAAGTCGAAGTTCGGGTAAAACAACACGTGTAGAGCTCATCGGTCTTGAGTTTATGATTTTTTTTTATGTAGAGCCCTTATTAAAAAGAGAAAATATGATGAGGTCGTCCGGATCAAATATACGGGATTTTTAAGCTAATAGAAATATTATTTTTTCGTACAATTTGTGGGTTCGTTATTTTGTTTCCAATTGTTCGTTGTCTTATTCATCCTAATAATTTGAAATCGGAGATGTATGTTAATAAGACAGGTCCTAATCATCAACCTGTCAATCAGTGCCTAATAGTCCAGGTGATAGAGCAGTCAAATTAGGCTTTGGTATTTGTGTTTGCATAGAAAATTCCCTGGGTAATAATAGGCGAGCGGTTCACCCCTAAAAAGATGCTTCTAAATGAAGGTAACCGACTAAATTTTTAAAACAAAAACCTACAGCATGAAATTTTTTTGTTTTATAGTGTAATTTTCTGATAATTTACATATTTTTTAAATATTTTTCGGCGGAGTCAGTCAATTGTTATAAACAAAAAAGTTGTAAAAAAAACTACTCGCTGAATCGCTTTTTATTGTAAAATGGACCAAAATAAACACTTTTTTCTTTGACAAAAATTCTAAAAATGCTTCGTTTCCAAGGTATTTACAATTTAATCGACAAACTTGCGGAATTTTTTTCTCAAAAACTACTGAACAGATTTTAATTCTAAAAAAGCAAAATAATCGGCAGATTTTCTACTTTAATATATATTTTTTTGGTGTGGGTCAATCATTTTATTGAAGGTCTAAAGCGAGTAAAAAAAGTCTATACAATAAATTATCCAATAACTTTTTTATTTTTTGAGACCGCTGGGTCAATATTATTATTAGGTTAATTTTACGATTTAAAAAGCTTATTTAGTTTAGTTTTCGTATAACATTCAAGTCAATTTTAGCCATTTATAAAACCAAAAATTGAATATTTAAATTGTACTAATTACTTGCAAATACCTTACTCCGGCTGCAAAACCAAAGAAAATGATCTTTTGAACATTTGTACTGTTAACATATATCGATTAAAATAAAATCATAATAATGTTTATTGTAAATATAATATAATCCAAGATATTGTAAAAAAAAAAAATTTGAAGTGTTTTCATAATTTTCTTTGAGACTTTTTTACCCGCTTTAGACCTTCAATAAAATGATTTTTTTAGAATTAAAATCTGTTGAGTAGTTGAGAAAAAAATTCCGAAAGTTTGTCAATTTCGTCACTTTTTTCACATTAAATTGCAGATATCTCGGAAACGAAGAATTTTTCGAATATTTGTCAAAGAACAAAAAGTGTTTATTTTGGTCCATTTTATAATATAAAAGCTATTTTCAAAGCCATTCGGCGAGTAATTTTTTTAAACTCTTGTTTATAACAATTAACTGACCACGCCGAAAAATATAAAAAAAATATGTAAATTATCAGAAAAATACACTATAAATTAAAAAAAGCTTCATGCTGTAGGTTTTTGTTTTAAAAATTTAGTCGGTTTGTGCCTTTTCCTTAAGGGTGAACCGCGCGCCTATAAAATAACACAGCTACACAAAAAAAGTAGTCTGTACTTTTCATGCGACATATGTTATCCGTAGCAGTTTTGCCTCCTGATCACGAATCCGGTGTCAGAATTGAGCTATCACATCACAGGAATTTCCTAACCACAAAAAACAGGTCAGGAATAGCAAAAATTCACGGAAGTGCTAGGAAAAATACAAATTTTCTTTTTTTTCTATATTCAAATGTTCATTTATATGGTTAAGGCCCCGCCGAATTTGAATCCGCGGTTAGAATTGATGGTTCTTTTTCTAACCTAAAAAAAAGGGGCAATTAAGGTCATATATCTAGAATTTTCAAAAAATAATAGATTCGCGCCAAATTTGGTATACGGGGGTATTCGAGATCAGATTTACAAAATTCGTTTTTAAAAATTTAATCAATTACCTACCTATATACTTTCTTATCTGAGATTAGGCAGAAAACCCATTAATAGATCTTTTACAGAAAAAAGAACAAGATATAGCCGAAAAAAAGAAGGTTAAAATATGATTGAGTACTCAAGTTATAAAGTAAACAAAAATATTACAAACTGAGTTTCGCAATTTCTGTAATCAGCGACCCCGAAAACCCATGTATACCAAATTTGACGCGAATGTGTTATTTTTTGAAAATTTGGTCGTCCATCTTGGATCCGCCATCTTGAATTTTGCAAAATTGACCTCGGATCCGTGATCAGCGACCCAGAAAACCCTCGTATGCCAAAATTAGCGCGAATCTGTTATTTTTTGAAAATTCGTGATATCTGTTCTTAATTGACCAGTTTTTTTGAGGTTAGAAAAAGAACCAACTAATTCTGACCACGGATTCACGTTCAGCGAGGTTTTAGCCATATAAATGAACATTTGAATATAGAAAAAACATTTTTCGTATTTTTCCTAGCACTTTTTCGTTAATTTTTGACCTGTTTATTGAGGTTAGGAAATTCCTGTGACACCTTTTTTGTGATCAGGAGACAAAAATACTACGGATAACATATGTCGCATGAAAAGAACACACAACTTTTTTTGTGTGTGGCTGTGTAATTGTTTTCTATAGAGTAAAATGTTGAAAAAATTAAAAAACTAAATGGTTATAAAAATGTAAAAATAAATATTTGATTTTTTTTATTGATTTGATTTGAGTATTGATCATTGTTTATTATGACAACAAGTATCTCTAAAAAATCGTGTGGCCTTCTAAATCTTAATTTAAACCCACGGTACGCGATAAACTTTTCAAATTTTCTTAATTAACAGTCCTATGAATCGAAAAATCACCCGATCGATCGTTGCAAAATTTTTAGGTAGAAAAGACATATGTTTTACTATTTTAGTTTCACCAATATTTATTAGGGTGGCCCAAAAAAAACGAATATATTTTTTTTTCGTGTCTCTTGTGAAAATATATTAGTTTATCATGTTTTAAGAGCCCCCTCAAAAAATCAGCTCAAAAAAATTTTTTTAGAGGCTGCTCAAGATTTTTAAAAATTTTCTAAATCGTCAAAAATTGAATTTTTTTCTTGTTATTTTATCATTTTCTAGGTTGAAAAAAATCTTGATTCTGAAAACTTCTGAGGTCGGGAAGGGGCAGGGGGGTGAGTTTTTAAGGGTAAAAAACGGTTTCCCTTGATTTCCAGAAAAACTACAAGTCTTATGGGAAAAAGTTAAATGACAAAGTTGTAGGTAATAAAAAGATCTACAACTTTTGTATTTACACTTTTTTCACATAACCTCAAAATTTATGTGAAAAATTCAAATAACCAAGTTTTTGGTTTTTT